CACTCTGTATGGGTGAATTCAGCTCATTTTTTCACGGGATAGCGGCTCCAAGTGCAGAACCTGGCCGGGTTACGTGTTGGGTGGCCACTGATGTGGGCCAGTGCGGTTCACCAATGATGTGGTGATGGTGTTGTGAGCGGTGGTTGAATTTGTAGAGTTGTCCGGTTATGCCTGGCTATGGTTGAACCTTGGTTCCCATGCAGGTAAACGGCTACTGGCATAAGGTTTGCCATGGTGAGCGCACCCCGTGAATGGCGGGCTCAGCTATAGTGGCGTGGCGCTGTCGGAGCGATGAGTTTTAATAGTAGTTTATGGCGCTTCACTGGTCAACGTCAATTGCGCTTAGGTTATTTGGGTAAATGGGGGTTAGGTATAAAAAATGTAGGTATATGAAATAAAAAAACTAAAAGAATTGTAAAGTAAAAATAAAAACAAACAAACAATATAAAAAACAATTTATTGATGGCGCTTCACTGGTCAACACCAAATGTTGCCCAGGATATTTAAGTAACTGGGGGGTTTACGTATTGCTCCGGTAGGTAGGTACTTGATCACCTTAGATGGAATTTGTTATACCTTTTTGCTTTTGCTTAGAACGCTGGACATTGGCATTCTACACTCCGTTTGAGTGGATTCAGCTCATTCTTCCAAGGGGTAGCAGCTCCAAGCGCGCGACCTGGCCGGCTTAGGTGTTGAGTGGCCACTGAGGTGGGCCGGTGTTAACCGGTGGTGTTGGTGTTGAGGGTTGGGAGTTGAGTTTGTAGAGTTGTCGTTGGTTATGCCTGGCTATGGTTGAAACGTGGTTCCCATACAGGACAACTGATACTGGCGTAGGGGTTGGCGTAGTGAGCGTACCCCTTGGGAGGTGAGCTGTTTTTGTGATGTATGGCCTTTTTCCAAGCGTTATATATTTTTTATTAATTTATTCGGAGGCGCGCTGTCAGGGGTCGCGCGCGGTTGCTGCTCGCGCTGTCGGCGTCACCGGGGGTCATTGAGTGGTTGGAATTTTAATTTTACCATACGATGTTACGAGTAATTTCTAACATTTTTATGATAGCAACCTGGTGTGTGTACTCAGGTTATGTACTCTTGTCACTCAGGACCTGCCTATGATTGGTTGGTGGGTGAGTTACTGTACCTTCTATGGGTGACATTGAGGCAGCTCGGCGTTTGGAGGCAGTAAACACCTCCAAAACGTGTCGAGCTAGAAAGCTACGGCAATTTTTACCCATATTGGCCTGTTTACAGCGTAGGGGCTGTCTGTATGCCGGTCTTTTGGTCCCTGATCAATCCGGAGCTTAGCGGGAAGGTAAGCTTGTTGCCCGTGGCGGGGGGATGCGGATACTATCAGATTTCAACAGCGTGTATTTTGGTATTCAGGTCGGGTAATTGCCCTAAACATTTGGAGAATCTTGGGATGCCCAATTCTACAGGTCCCGGGTGAAGCTCGCTAGTCTGCCCGGGGGTATCCCCTTCTACAACGACCCCGAGGCAGCTCGCTAGTCTGCCCGGGGATATCCTCTCCTACAACGGCCTCGGGGCAGCTCGTTAGTCTGCCCGGGGGTGCCCCTTCTACAACGGCCTCGGGGCAGCTCGCTAGTCTGCCCGGGGGTGTCCCCTTCTACAACGACCCCGGGGCAGCTCGCTAGTCTGCCCGGGGGGGGGGGGTGTCCCCTTCTACAACGGCCTCGGGGCAGCTCGCTAGTCTGCCCGGGGGTGTCCCCTTCTACGAACCCGGGACAGCTCGCTAGTCTGCCCGGGGGTGTCCCTTTCACAACGGCCTCGGGGCAGCTCGCTAGTCTGCCCGGGGGTGTCCCCTTCTACAAAGGCATCGGAGCAGCTCGCTAGTCTGCCCGGGGGTGTCCCTTTCTACAACGACCCCGGGGCAGCTCGCTAGTCTGCCCGGGGGTGTCCCCTTCTACGACCCCGGGACAGCTCGCTAGTCTGCCTGGGGGTGTCCTTCACAACGGCATCGGGGCAGCTCGCTAGTCTGCCCGGGGTGCCCCCTTCTACAACAGCCTCTGGGCAGCTCGATAGTCTGCCCGCGGGCGTCCCCTCCTACAACAGCCTCGGGTGTAGCTCGCTAGTCGCAAGTCTGCCCGTGGTAGTCCCCTTCTTCAACGGCCTCTGGGCAGCTCTCTAGTTTGCCGGGGATGTGTTTTTCTACAACGGCCTCGGGGCGGCTTGCTCGTCTGCTCGTTGGTGGCTGCCGCCAGGACGCCGGTAGCGCAGGCGTCATTCCGGCGGCTTTGAATGTGGATGCCGGCGGGCGTTGAGAGCTCTCCCCTTTTGCTGGTCGGCTATCTATGACCTGATTACCTATAGTTTCGTGGTCACTGTTTTAACCTTTGCAAAGTTTTAGGTAACATTCATGGTCGTTATCATTGCCACACATATCACAGGGATTAAGGTACACGTAACGGTAGCTGTGGCCTCTGTTGTCAGTTGCCTAACAACCGTTGGGTTACCATGCTTTTTTGGGGGGACGGCGCTAAAATAATAACAATAATAACAATAATAATGACAATAATAACAATAATAATGACAATAATAATAACAATAATAACAATAATAACAATAATAATTAACATTAGCAATAATAAAAGAAAAAAGCAGCTCGCTAGTCTGCCCGGGGAAGCCGTTTCTCACGGCCCCTGGTGCTGCTCGGGATGCTCCCTTCTTCCACCTTCTACAACGGCCGCGGGGCGGCTCGCTAGTCTACCCGTAGGTGGCTGCCGCTAGGAGCCCGGTAGCGCGGGTGTCCTTACGGCGGCTTAGAGCGCTGATTCCTGGAGCGGGCCGAGAGCCCTCCCCTTTTTTGCTGGGCGGCTGTCAACGACCTTCGTTGATACTGTTCTATAACCCCTTCCAAAGTTCTGGGAAAATTCATGGTCGCGCTGATAGGCATGTGCATTGTGCATAGGTTCAAGGTCAAGGAAAATACAGCTTCTGTTGTCAGATGCCTCAGAACTCATGGATGGTTGTTTTTTCGGCGGGTATATCGAGGGCCTTTAGTTGGTGGAGGCTATCATCGCAGTAGTGGCTAATGCTACTGGTTGTTAGTCCTGCTGCAAGGGCTTCGGTATAAATGCCGTAATATTGTTCTTCATTGGTGACCGCTGTATCGCTCACATTCATGTTGGCAGGTTTTAGGGGATCGTGGCGTTTCTGGTAAGCTTCGGGCCAGGTTGAGGAAATAATTACCTACCTTCAACCAAGCACGTATTTGAGGGGTTCCGCCACTGGTCTCGACACTGGCGGCGACTATAGGTCTTTTTGTGTTAATTTGTATCCCCCATTCGGTCTGCTGGTCTCGGGAAGGGGGTGTTTTATTTTGGCGCATTGGTGTCTGGGTGGATATATTGAATGGGTGGGGACACCATTGCGCCGCGCGGGGGGAGGGGTGGCGGCCCGTTGGCAGGGCAGTCTTGGTTGAGACATGTTTACTTGCTAGTATGTTTGTGTCGTGTTCATTGGGCTGAATATACCAATAGCCCCTTTTTGTACAGCTACAGTGTTTTCCTGGAGGGACTTGGTTGTGAGGTTTGCGCTGAGATTGGTAACGAATAGCATAGCTAATTGTTTCTATGTTTGCTGGCAGCTCGAAGGGGAAGCGGAAAATACGCCCGGTTATATATGACAAGATATAACCGGTTTTTCCGCGACACTACGAGCGTCTTCTCTGGGGCGGCCCCGGAGCCGGGCCGGCCTCGGCGAGCAGCGTTCGGCGGCAGGCGGGCGGCCGCCTGCGCCCCCGGGCGGCAAGGCCGCTAAGGCGGCGGCCTCCTCTGATTGGTGGAGCGACTCGTGTCACGTGACGGTGACGGCGCGGGGTTTGAGTGCATTTGCGCGGTCACTCTGTTCTAAGCCGCCCGGTCTGACGCAAGTCAGCAGTGTTCTCGCTCTGAAATGTTTTTGCGTTTCCCACCCACCCACCACCATTTTTGGTTTTTTTTTTTACACGCACCACACTCTTAAATAAAGATGGGTTTTTCCACAAAATGTGGTTTTTTTCCCCAACTAGGTCCCCCGGTTTTTTTCTAGTTAGGACTTTTTCCGGGGGAGGACACACACGACAGGGTTTCTAGTTTGGGTGGGGACACCATTGCGCCGCGCGGGGGGAGGGGTGGCGGCCCGTTGGCAGGGCAGTCTTGGTTGAGACATGTTTACTTGCTAGTATGTTTGTGTCGTGTTCATTTGGGCTGAATATACCAATAGCCCCTTTTTGTACAGCTACAGTGTTTTCCTGGAGGGACTTGGTTGTGAGGTTTGCGCTGAGATTGGTAACGAATAGCATAGCTAATTGTTTCTATGTTTGCTGGCAGCTCGAAGGGGAAGCGGAAAATAAGTTTATGAAAGAGACCTCATTTCACACCCACCCATGGCTTACGTTGCACGTAGTTAATTATACTCCAGCGCTTGTTCACCAGCCTTGAACAAAAGCTGCTGTTTCAAGCGATTGTGAATTTCAAGATTTGAGCAAAAAGTGCATGGAATATTTTGCTGGATAATGGATGAGACACAATATAAAATCATTGTTCCTTCTTGCGGACACATCATGTGCTATTCGGTCATTGCTAGTTGTTGGAGCTGGGCCATGCGCTCGCAAGCGGCACCGATCATGAACGGAATAGCCATTACTTGATGGCATTAGTGTTTTATCAACGAGAATGTTGAATGTTAAGAGGATCTTTTGCACATGTTTCTCAATTCAGGAACACGGTTATACATGTGTCCAGGTATTGCGGTCCGTGTCATTAGTATACGTTATCTGTAAGACTATTACAACGGCTACAATATTTTGTCTTTTGTTTGCTCGTTTTTATTCTTATTTTTGATTTCTTATCCGCTTAGTAACTGGCAAGCAAACAAATCAAAAAGACTCCCCAAATTTACAACATATTGCCACGTTATATCCCATGCCAATGACACATAGTAATCAAACCAACATTTCAGTCATTTCAGTCAACAAAGCCATTTCAGTTCCGCTGCGAACTCACCTGGCGAGTCCTCCTCCAACTCCCGAACGAGTTCTCGAAGCGCCGTTCTGGAGCGGTAGTCCTCGCGGTCCGCCGATCGGTCGGACCCGCTCGTGTCGTTCCCGACACCCTACTGACGGCAACATCCCAAGGAGGGACGGAGCGGCGACCGCCGACGCTCCTGACATCTATCGTCGGCTACGAGAACTACCGCAGAGGCGGGATCCAAAGCGGACGGGGCGGGGTGGGCAGATATGGGTAGATTTAGGATAGATTTAGCTGAAGCTAACAATGATCATCTTCCCTGCTTTGAGACGTGACGATTTTATGTTAAGAGGATGTGCAACTGTTGGCGAAAACCGTCTTACTAATCTGTCAGCCCAATAGAAAGGTGGGTAGGTTACAAGGTATACATGTAGGTAGGTAGGCTGTAGCCATAATTTAGCTGCTATACACTCACACTCTTTTCGTCATGTTTTCCTCCCAATAATTTCAAAGGAAGCCGGAAGGGCTTTTCAACGGTGCGAAGATCAGTTAAACAGAAAGAGCGGGAAAGATCGAGAGAGAGAGAGAGGCGAAGACAGATTAAAGGAGAGAGAGAGAGAGAGAGAGAGAGAGAGAGAGAGAGAGAGAGAGAGAGGGAGAGAGAGATAGAGTAAGAAAGAGAGAGATAGAGAAAGAGAGAGAGAGAAAGAGAAAGAGAAAGAGAAAGAGAAACAGAAAGAGAGAGAGAGAGAGAGAGAGAGAGAGAGAGAGAGAGAGAGAGAGAGAGAGAGAGAGAGAGAGAGAGAGAGGAGAGAGAGAGAGAGAGAGAGAGAGAGAGAGAGAGAGAGAGAGAGAGAGAGAGAGAGAGAGAGAGAGAGAGAGAGAGAGAGAGAGAGAGAGAGAGAGAGAGAGAGAGAGAGAGAGAGAGAGAGAGAGAGAGAGAGAGAGAGAGAGAGAGAGAGAGAGAGAGAGAGAGAGAGAGAGAGAGAGAGAGAGAGAGAGAGAGAGAGAGAGAGAGAGAGAGAGAGAGAGAGAGAGAGAGAGAGAGAGAGAGAGAGAGAGAGAGAGAGAGAGAGAGAGAGAGAGAGAGAGAGAGAGAGAGAGAGAGAGAGAGAGAGAGATAAAAAGGAGGGAGAGTATTGATAGAGGGAATAGGAAGATATATTATCTCCATTTCCTTAATACTCATGTATCGCTATGATTGACATCGTCGCGCAATAAGTCCCAATAAAACACCAGGCTTATCCATCCCACACATGACAGGACATTCATGAACATGCATCATAGTCAGTTCTCAAAAACATGCCTTCTAAGCGCCTCTGAGCTCCGCACGGCTATAAAGGTACGGCCAAGGCTATAGAACTCCTGAGCTCTGAGCGGTACGGCTCTGGTACGGCTCTGAGCTGATGCACTGTCTTGCTACTGCGTCTGCATAGGTTTCGACTTTGTGTCTATATGCTCAGGTACCACTCAAAAGAATTGTTCACGATGTACGCAGTGTGCAGAGCGGCATGTCAATATCATTATTAATTAGTACACAGATTTATGTAACATAGTGGAGACAAATTCAATGTTGAGTCGAGTGCCCAGTTACGTGTGCAGGTAGGAGGATTACCTCATCGAGATATTAAAGGGACTGAGGATGTGAACGTCAAATATTAGCACTTGAGATTGGTTTGCCTACCTTAACGTAAGAACAGTAAGTGACGAAATGAAACGTGTAATGATGGACAATATAATGTTAAAAGTCTAACATTGCAGTCTTATTCAGTAGTCACCACTGCCAATAAAAGCAAACAAAATTCATATATCGGCCAGAATAATTGACAATTGTATTAATAGCAAGACTGTTACATCTTGGAACGATAATGTTACATTCCAATGTATCTTGTTGATGTAAACTGCTTATATTGCCTACGGTAGACTTCTAGCATTGTCATTCATGTGTCTACATTGTTATGTTACAGAACAAAAATGTTACACGAACGAAAATCTTTCGCGCCTGTTTTTCATATCATTTTTCTCCAAACCAAATCTGACTCAAGTCTCGTCTGAGGCGATCGCCCGTACTCAGTAGGGAACGCGAAGTCTCCAAAGTTGATATGTCGTCTGCATACGAACCCAGCTCTCCATAGGCTGTTTGAGCTGGGTGGCGAGGAGTAAATAAAATAAAAATGATTGCCCCGACGATTGAGCCCTGGGGTAACATTCAGGGCTTTATCACAACAATAGCAGTCTGGCGCTGGTTTTTAAACAGTTCAAGAAAAGAGAAATAGAGAGCTAAAAAGCGAGAGAGAGAGAGAGAGAGAGGGAGAGAGAGAGAGAGAGAGAGAGAGAGAGAGAGAGAGAGAAACTGCAGTAGCCTCTGCAGTCAATGCCAGCAGATTGCGCCTAGATGGACACGACTGACACGGCAAGGCCCGAATATGACAACCGTCAGCCGCTCGTTGCATCCCCATTGCAGCAGACCTCCTAGGCCATTGACAGAGATATAGCAAACACAATAGAAAGTCACAGACTGCATCTGCAGGCACAATTGTTGTGTCGACCTCACTAAACGCCCCACTTTTCTTCCGGTCACGCCCACACTAACGGCCTAAAGTTCCACTGGAAGGTGTCACGAGACCGCCCGGCATTTTCTCCGTAGAGTGATGGCCTCTCCTGAGGATTAAATGGTCCTCATGGGGACAAACAGGGAGCTCCATATGTTATCCACAAGGGCACAGGGACTTGGATCGACACACGGTCGATCTCGTGATGATCACATTGTCAGAAGTGTGTTCAGAACTCCGATCAGATGGGTTGAAATGACTGAGTAGTTGGGGAGGCATTGAAATGACTGAGTGGGGAGATGGAATGAATGATGATGCCGTCTCAGACAGCATCGCGAGGCTCATGCTGGAGAGCACTTTGAGTCGAGATTTAGGTCACTATGTCACTCACGATGCGACTAATGCCTCCACAGAAACAACTTTTGGGATGCGCCTCATAAATTTCTATGACCTTTCTGCTTTTGCATTCTAGTTTACTTATTTCAGCGCTTTGAGTGGTGGCGTCTACTTGAATCTTGATCTTGAGTAATCAATCTGGAAACAACTCGCAGGCGTCCCAAAAGTACAGCGTTTGGTGTTGGTGTCTTAGCAACAAGTTGTCGGTCATTTACCTTCTCGAAATAAGATCGTCGGCGGGTTCACTAACCCCTATTACAATAATAAATCGTGGACGATCACCACTGACATGCATTCTCGTTTCATAAATCCTTCATCCAACTGCTAGATAGCTCTCGGGCTGTCGCCGCGTGAAGTGACAAAGCAGCAGCCAATGTTTCAGAGGGCAACAGCCGTCACATCCCGGCGATACATTTTGATAATCATCAAGCTACGCATTTCGTATTCAGGGTGAGTCGTGCGACCGTCTCCGTGCTTGGCAACTCTTCTTGTCGTGGTAGCCACCACCCTATTCGTTAACTATGAATACAGGCCCGGATAGGATGATTAAAAGCTCGACACATGTTGTATCCAATGCCGACCCAAAAGCAAGTACTTCCCAGCCGACGCGACGGTCACGTGGCTTCATTTACTCTGACGGACGTCACGTGCCACAACTTCTGGGTCTTCGGCATTTTGGAGGATACGCGAGCTCGGAGAGTGTTCAAAACAGGTTCTTACTGCCCGTGCAGACTCGGATGTCGAATAAACTTAAGCACATCTTCCTTGATTTAGTAGATGAAGGCAGAGGAGATCGAGGAGATTAGGGGAGAGAAGAGGAGTAGAGAGTTGAGGAGAGGGTGAGAGGGAAATTGCTCAGTGAGATTATTACATGAGATGAGAGGATATGACAAATAGTTCATGCCATTATTGAAGAAGATAATGTTTCTTTCGTGGGTAATCATCGACAGGATTGAGATAGAAGAAGGTCTGAAGAAGGTGCGACGCTGCGACTGTTTCTATTTTTCCAGCAAGCTTCAGCAGCTTGATTACACATATTCGAAAAATTGTAACGAACTAACTCCGCTCTGGATCTCAGTGGCATTTTGGAATTCATCCAACCATTCGATAAGAGCGACGCACCAAAATGATTCACAAACGCCTTCCAGTACCACTTGGCACCGCTCAGGTACGGCTTTGATCTACGACCAAGCGAGATTTCAAAGGAGACAAAGCGACTGAACTGTAGGTGCTCTGTTATGATGTTGATAAATATGACCTTTGATTAGAGCAGGACTGAACTAGCTGATCGTGAAATCGGGACAGGGATGAAATGCCGCTAGCTGACCGTGAAATCAGGATAAAGCTGAAATGACAATTGAAGTGACCAGACCATGCACATTGCACAGCTGTCATTTTAGACGGTGAGGACAATAGCTATATAATAGCTCAACCCTGAAAAGACGTGAGGGCATTTAATGTATATATAGATTATTGCTGTGTGACTTGAAACAGCAAGCTATAGAAAATTCCAGTTAAGAATTCACACAGTTATCGCGCTGTAGCGCGGATACTGATTTTATGAAAATCGTGCTGAATTCGATCGGAAACCCATTTCTGCACCCGTTTTTTCGTTCCTGCATGAAATAAATAGACATTTTGAAGAATAAAAAATACATGCGATGTAGTTCAAATAAATTCATACACCCAGATTAACAGCAAATATACTTCGAATGCCTGGTCGTATCTGACCATTTCTGACTCACAATGTCATTTTATTTCACTCCTAGTTAATAGTGATCATGTAATTTCCATACCAGTCAGATTGAAGATTCTGATGATGCCGAGTTTTCTTAATGGACCAGCTATATGCGCTATCCAGTATTCGTCATATCCTGAGTACCCAATATGCATTTACAATTCAGTATCTCATTAACACTGTCCCGGGCATAAAAAACTCATCAACAATAACTCGTAATATGTTCCGCTCTCGTCAAATAAGCTCTGAAAATTAGCAAAGTGAGAATGAAGGAAATCCCAACATCATTATAACTTGCTAATTACACCTTGTCGTGATTGGGGGAGTGTTTTGACTACACCAACAGCCCCTGAGGTGAGCCGATAATAAAAGGTATGTTGCTGTCTAATCTAATGGAGTTTTTTTGGCAGTCATTGTGGCTTTGATACTGGCTGATGCAATGTTTTTAGAACGATCACGTCT